ATTTTGGTTGTTTGTTTTTTTTTTTAATAATGGCCATCCTAATGAGTGTGAAGTGATATCTCTTTGTGGGTTTGATTTGCATTTTCCTAATGATTAGTGAAGAGGAACTAAAAAGCCTCTTGATGAAAGTGAAAGAGGAGAGTGAAAAAGTTGGCTTAAAGCTCAACACTCAGAAAAATAAGATCATGGCATCTGGTCCCATCACTTCATGGCAAATAGATGGGGAAACAGTGGAAATAGTGTCAGACTTTATTTTGGGGGGCTCCAAAATCACTGCAGATGGTGACTGCAGCCATGAAATTAAAAGACGCTTGCTCCTTGGAAAGAAAGTTATGATCAACCTAGACAGCATATTAAAAAGCATATTAAAAAGGAGACATTACTTTGCCAACAGAGGTTCGTCTGGTCAAGGCTATGGTTTTTCCAGTGGTCATGTATGGATGTGAGAGTGGACTGTGAAGAAAGCTGAGCGCCAAAAAATTGATGCTTTTGAACTGTGGTGTTGGAGAAGACTCTTGAGAGTCCCTTGGACTGCAAGGAGATCCAACCAGTCCATCCTAAAGGAGATCAGTCCTGGGTGTTCATTGGAAGGACTGATGCTGAAGCTGAAACTCCAATACTTTGGCCACCTCATGCGAAGAGTTGACTCATTGGAAAAGACCCTGATGCTGGGAGGGATTGGGGGCAGGAGAAGGGGACGACAGAGGATGAGATGGCTGGATGGTGTCATCTACTCAATGGACATGAGTTTGAGTAAACTCCGGGAGTTGGTGATGGACAGGGAGGCCTAGTGTGCTGCGATTCATGGGGTCTCAAAGAGTCGGACTTAACTGAGTGACTGAACTGAACTGAATGATTAGTGATGTTGAGCCTGTTTCTTTGTGCTTATTGACATTTGTATATCCTCTTCGGAAAAATGTGTATTCAAGTCCTTTGCCCACTTTTTGAATTGGGGTGATTTTTGTTGTTGTTGTTGGGTTGTAGAAACTGTATCTCTTCTGAATATTAACCCCTTATTTGGTACACAATTTACAGATATTTTCTACCACTGCATGCCTTGCCTTTTCATTCTATTCATAGTACCCTTTGACGTGGAAAAGTCTAATTTTGATGGAGTCCAGTTTATGTTTTTTATCTGTTACCTATGGTTTTGACATCATAGTCAAGAAATACTAGGCCATATAATTATTTTTTAACTTGCTTTTTTCTCTTCTTTTCTTTTTTCTGGAAAAGGAGATTCAAAGATGTTTAACTATGATGTTGTGTACAGTTGTGAAAGTGAATGAAGGACAATTAGGCTCATCAACATGACTTGATTTCAAATAAACAGCATTGTTCAAAGAAAAGCAAATCACATAAGGATATACACATATGTATGTAGTTTCTTTCTATTTTAACCAAGGTCCCAAACAAGCAAAATTAAGCAATATGCTGCTTGAGGATACATTAACAAGTGATCCAGCTACCAGGAAAACAAAGGATTGTACTTATCTAACACTGGGTAAAAACATATGTTAACTTGCTTTTTTCATCAATCAGTTAGCAGTCTTTCCACATCAAGTAATGCAGCCTCCTATTGTTACTTTTATCTGTTGTAGAGTATTCCTCAGGGCTTCCTCGGTGATGCCAGTGGTAAAGAATTCACCTGTCAACGCAGGAGATGCAAGAGACACAGGCTCAATTCCTGGGTTGGAAAGATCCTTAGCCAGGGCATATCACGGTTTATCTAACTCCTCCCAAAATAGTGAGCATTTAAATAGTGTTCATTTTTTTTACATGTATGTGTGTCAAAAACAAACAAATATAAAATCAGGAAAGGATATTTATCACAGTGCTAGAAGTGATGATCTCTGGGCAGTTGGGTTGGAAATAGCTTTATTTTGTCTGGAATGCTTTTTGAATTTTCTAATTTTAATAGTAAATAAGTATTTTTATTTAATAAAACTTATAAACAAGTCAATAAACATAGTAACATCCTTTGATTCAACAACTTCACCCAGAGGCTATCAAAAATTCTTCGCTGTAAGTTAAACAAACAAAACACAACATCTGCTTGAAGTAATTCATATTGTTGATGATGTACTAATATCATTTAGTCATAGACTTGATGATCAAATAGGAGACTGGGGGATAGAACTTCATATAGCCCTGGATTATTATGTGGTCATGAAAATTAATTTCAGAATGTGTAACAGCATGAAAAAAGAATCTACAGGGGGCAGGATTTCCATTAAATAATTATCTTGGCCAAATATTGTCAAAAATTTTTGGTGGAGAACCATGTAGGAAGTATATTAGTCTTTGTGAGCCATATTGTCTTTGTTACAGTTACTCACCTTTGCCTTTGTAGGGCACAAGCAGCCTCAAATGAATGAGTGTGACCTTAGGGCCCTAGTTGTGGACTCACTCAAGTTGCTCAGTGAATTTATTTAACTTTTTCTTTAATACTTTTAAAAAATAGATTGGCCAAAGAATTCCTTCAGTTTTTTTTTTTAAGTAAAAGACACATTTCTCATTTTCACCAGGAAGTTTATTGAATAATGTATTCACCATTTTGTTCCACTACCTTCTTTCATTTTTCAGGCAACTTCATAATCCCATCTTCTCAAAACTTTTAATCTTTTTGAGCAGAGAACTGTTCTAGGTGCTTTTTACAGTCTTCCAGGGAATTGAAAATTTTTCCCTGAATAGAATATTGTAAAGACCGAATTGAAGGGACATCGGAAGCAGCAATGTCTGGTGAATATGGCAGATGAGTCAAAACTTGCCAGCCAAGATGTGACAGTTTTTGCCTTAGTCATCAAAGAAACATGCAATCTTACATTATCCTGATGGAAGATTATGGGTTTTCTGTTGACTAATTCAGGACCCTTTTCATCGAGTGTTGTCTTCAGTTGGTATAATGGGAGCATTACTTGTTGGAATTAGTCATTTGGTTTTCTGAAAGAAGTTCATTATAGAGGACTCCCTTCCCATTCCACCATATCACCCAATATCACCTTCTTTGGATGAAGATCGGCCTTTGGTGTTGTTGATGGGTTCTTTCCCCTTGCCCCATGATCTCTTCTGTTCCACATTATTGTACAGCATTCCCTTTTTATTGCCTGTCACAATTTGTTTTAAAAAATGGGACTTTTTGTTACATTTAAGAAGAGAATCACATGCAGAGTCAAGAAGATTCTTTTTGCTTAACTTACGTGGAACCCAAACATCAAAATGATTAATATAACTCAGTTCAGTTCAGTTTAGTTGCTTAGTCGTGTCCGACTCTTTGCAACCCCATGAATCGCAGCACGCCAGGCCTCCCTGTCCATCACCAACTCCCGGAGTTCATTCAAACTCATGCCCATTGAGTTGGTGATGCCATCCAGCCGTCTCATCCTCTGTCATCCCCTTCTCCTCCTGCTCTCAATCCCTCCCAGCATCAGGGTCTTTTCCAATGAGTCAACTCTTCGCATGAGGTGGCCAAAGTATTGGAGTTTCAGCTTCAGCATCAGTCCTTCCAATGAACACCCAGGACTGATCTCCTTTAGGATGGACTGGTTGGATCTCCTTGCAGTCCAAGGGACTCTCAAGAGTCTTCTCCAACACCACAGTTCAAAAGCATCAATTTTTCGGCACTCAGCTTTCTTCACAGTCCACTCTCACATCCATACATGACCACTGGAAAAACCATAGCCTTGACCAAATGGACCTTTGTTGGCAAAGTAATGTCTCTGCTTTTTAATATGCTGTCTAGGTTGGACCTAACTTTCCTTCCAAGGAGTAAGTGTCTTTTAATTTCATGGCTGCAGTCACCATCTGCAGTGATTTTGGAGCCCCCCAAAATAAAATCTGACACTGTTTCCACTGTCTCCTCATCTATTTGCCATGAAGTGATGGGACCAGATGCCATGATCTTAGTTTTCTGAATGTTAAGCTTTAAGCCAACTTTTTCACTCTCCTCTTTCACTTTCATCAAGAGGCTTTTTAGTTCCTCTTCACTCTCTGCCATAAGGGTGGTGTCATCTGCGTATCTGAGGTTATTGATATTTCCCCTGGCAATCTTGATTTCAGCTTGTGCTTCTTCCAGCCCAGCGTTTCTCATAATGTACTCTGCATATAAGTTAAATAAGCAGGGTGACAATATACAGCCTTGATGTACTCCTTTTCCTATTTGGAACCAGTCTGTTTTTCCATGTCCAGTTCTAACTCTTGCTTCCTGACCTGCATACAGGTTTCTCAAGAGGCAGGTCAGGTTGTCTGGTATTCCCATCTCTTTCAGAATTTTCCACAGTTTATTGTGATCCACACAGTCAAGCTGGTGCAAATGATTTTCAACACTTGATTTGGGTATTTGAATATGTTGTTTATCTCTGTGTGATATAATGTAGATTATTTGCAATAACTCGATTTGATTGCTATCAACTTTAACTAATCTACTGGATCATGGAACATTGTCCAGCTAGAAATTCGAGCACGAAACTTCACAAACCACTTTTGACACATTCAATTAATCACAGCACCTTCTCTATACACTGCACAGATCTTTTTTTTGCTTCTCAGTTGCGTGTTTATCTCTCTTGAAATAATAAAATATATAAAGCATGATATGCTGAAAATGTTGCTTTTTTTCTTCCATCTTTATTATTAACATGGCTACACAAAAATTCACCAGTTTTGGTAAGTTTTTTTTTTTTTAATGCACACTGATATGACAGCTGTCTTAATGCAGTCTAACAAAATTGTTTCTAGTGAAGTTAAAGACAACTAAGAACTACTAGAGCCATCTTACAGAAAAAAATGAATGTTTTGGCCAACCCAATATTTAAATAAAATTATGTGAATATATTAATTTGCCTGAGACACAATAGCCGTTTCCTGAAGATTTCCTGACTGAAGATGGAAATGAAATACAATTAAGAACACTTTATACATGCCCTTAGGTTTGATTGAGTTGCTTATTTCAATGGGCCTTTAGTGCAGAAGTTTTATTACATTTGTCTTGTGTTCTTTCCTAGGGGAAGAAAATGTAATTGCTGTTCCTTTGGGAAGTCGAAGTGTGAGAATTACAGTGAAAGGACCTGCACATCTCTGTAAGTAAGATTTAATCTTAACATTTTTCTTCTTTTCTGAAAGCTTATTTAGTAAAGAAAATGTATGTATATATTTATATAACTGAGACACAACTGAGCACGCCCACTGAAATAGTCTACATCTCTAAGGAATGATCTATGACCCTGATTTTTTTGGTTCTCATGTCCAAAGTATACCAGTTTGGGATTAATCCCCTGACAGGAGAGGAAATCAAGTTATATATGTAATGAACTATTTTTTATGTGGAGAGTAAACTTAGATTCAAGAGTCTTCTGGAGATCTCAGTAGTTTGGGATAAAAAATAGCAAAACTAAATTTAAAACACAAAGCTTCATCAGTGAATACAGCTGACAAGTACAAGCTCTATTGACAGCACATCACAGCCTAGATCTAGGGGGCACTGAAAATTAACACTGGTTTCCCAGAATCCTAAGAGTTTGAAACAATAAAGGGATGGAATTGTATGTTTCTTTGGTCAAAGTCACATGAAATCTCCTCTGTCTTAGCTTTTCTGGTCTCTCGATGGTGGTTTAGTTGCTAAGTTGTGTCCGACTCTTGCAACCCCATGGAGGGTAGCCCACCAGGCTCCTCTGTCCATGGGATTCTCCAGGCAGGAATACTGGAGTGGGTTGCCATTTCCTTCTTCAGGGGATCTTCCCGACCCAGGAATCAAACCCGGGTCTCCTACATTGCAGGCAGATGATTTAGTAACTGAGCTATGAGGGAAGCCCTTTTTGGTCTCTTAGGACCCAAAGAAACTGAGAATACCGAAGTTTGTATATTTCTATCCCAGGGTTTCCTATGTCCATGCGAAGGACTTTCTTAGTATTTTTCTGGGCAAGTTGAGTCTCTGCCAAGACTGGGGTCCCTAGCCTTGAAGAAGGTCACTGTATTCAGCTCTATCTTTCTGTAAAAAGTACAAAACACTAAGTAGTTATAAATATAGCTATTTTAAAGCCACACAAATCAAGGTCTACTGGATTAAAATGCTGCATATTTTGCCTTTTTGTTTCTCCTGAGCCACCATCTTAGATTTTCAAGTTGTAAGAATTTCTTAGGGCCACAAGCATCGTACATTTTCTGTAGCTTCCAAGTGAGTATGTGCATGTGTGTGTATGTGTTTGTATACTTTAGATTCAGTACTGATATTCTAACCAGCAATGTCCTTTGAGGAATGTTTATATCAAAATGTGTTTGTCACCAAGGATATAGATTAAAAATCTTAAAAAAAAAAAAAAAAGAAATTCCGTAGCACATTATGGCCTAAATTAGGGAAGGAAGAGAATAGGTTTAGGACAGTGAGAGTGAGCCACTATTGGAAAGTCTTTTTTTAACCCTACTTTATTGTATGAATTATGGCTAAAAGAGTATGACTGATCTATTTAAAATATTAAAATGTTTACAAACATATAGTGGTCAGTTCACTCAAGGCTTTCTCTAGAATGATGCATCAAAACATTTTTTAAGGCTTCTTCTTAAAATGGCTTAAAGCCCACCAGAGCTATTTCTTTTTTAAAATTTATTTATTTGGCTATGCCAGGTCTTGGTTGTGGCATGTAGGATCTTTAGCTGTGTCACGTGGGATCTAGTTCCCTGACCAGGGATGGAACCCGGTCCCTGCATTGGAAGCACAGAATCTTAGCCACTGGGCCACCAGGGGAGTCCCAGCCCACACTCAATGAGAATAAATCTTCATCCTTGTAAATGCCAACTTGATGTTTGGAAACAGGTGAAAATCATTTAGATCCAAATTCTGTGAGTGATTTGAATGATCACGTTGTAAAATAACATTTTGGTTCAAAACTAAGAAGTACTGAATATTCATAGCAGTATAATTCATAATAGCCAGGATGTAAAAACAGCTCAAATGTCCATTAACAGATGAATGGGTAAATAAAATGTAGCATATGTAGAATATTATTTGACTAAAACAAAGAATGAAGTCCCTGACATGTGCTACAATAGATATTTCTGTGCTCAGTCATGTCCAAGTCTTTGTGACCCTTTGGACTATAGCCCGCCAAGCTCCTCTGTGCATGGGATTCTCCAGGCAAGAATACTGGAGTGGGCTACCATTTCCTACTCCAGAGGATCTTCCCTACTTAAAAATAGAACGCAAGTCTCTTATATTTCCTGCATTGGCAGGCAGGTTCTTTACGACTAGCGCCACCTGGGAAGCCTGCTACAGCAGATATGATGTTTGAAAACATTGTGCTAAGTGAAAGAAGTCAGTCACAAAAAGGCCAGGTATTATTAATATATGATTGTCTTTATATAAAGTGTCCAGTATAAGCAAAACAGAAAGTTGGTTGGCAGTTGCGTAGGGCGAGGGTGAGTTGGGCTGGTGGCAGGTCTGGGGACTGTTAATGGATATGGGGTTTCTTTGGAGGAGTGGTGACAAAAATGTTTTAAACTTCGATTGTGGTGATGGCTTCACAATTCTGTGAATATGCTGAAACCACAAAACTATATTTTAAATGAGTGAATTTTATGGCATGTGAATTTTACAGCATATCAAAAAGATATTTTAGAAAAAAATATGCAATGACTGGGCCTGATTTTCTCATGATACTAAAGACAGTTCTTTAAAATTCAGCTTTAAAGAGAGCTTAATAAGCTCAAAGAGCAGAATAAGTAGGCAGTAAACAGGTTTAGTAAAGATGAATACTTTGAGGTAAAATACTCATTTACATACATACCTGTTCTGGCATATTAAATATGACTTTAATACTCAAGACTGACACTGTCCCAAGAACAGAGCTCAAAAATATTCCCATTTCTCCAAAGGTGATAAGATCTCTTGGTTGGAGTATTTCTCCTTCTGAACATTCTCAAAACTGGCTCAGAAGTATTTCTGAAAGTTACCTTTCTCTGTCAGTGAAGAGAATGAACTGGTTTCATTTACAAAGGAATTAGTTAGCATTTCTTAACATCTTAATATAGATGTGGCTTTATTTTCTTGATTTGTACAAGTGTTTTCTTAATTTTATTCCGAAGATATAGTCCTGAAATTAAGCTGACTTTGCAGTAATAAATCATTCTTTTAAGATCTGTATTAAGTGCCACCCTCCAAAAGGCATCATTAAAAACTGAGGGCACTCAGTAACATAATGTTAGTCTCTTTGCTGTGGAATTTAATTACAGAATATCCATCTTGCATATTGCCTCGAGGCGATTAGAGCTGAATTTCCAGTCCTTTTGCAAGCTTGGCCTCAGTATTATATCAAGCATACAGCTCCAGATTTCCCTAAAATTTCAAAAATGGAAATAATAAAAGGGTTACCGCAAAAGGGATTTTATTGAAGCAAAACTTCAACATGAAATGTGTTGACTGGCAATAAACTGGAGAAGGCAAGATGCCATAAGCTGAAAACCTCCATTATTGATTGTAAGAATTTTTTTTTTTCGGACCTCTAAATGCTATCTGATGACCATATACAGTAAGTTCCTTATGTACAAATGAGTTCCAGCCTAAGAGTGTTTTGTAAGTCCAATTTGTTTGTCAGTCTAGCAAAGTTATCTTAGGTACCCAACTAACACAATTGACTACACTGTACCAGCTATATCACTGCTATTTTATGCTTGCTTCTGGACATCCTGGGCCTGAAATAAAGATCCTAAACTACTGTACTTGCACACAGCATGATCACTTGTAGAGGATGCACACATGTGACAATGTACGCTGGACATGTGAACTAACTTATTGATTGGACATGCGAACACACATTCTGATCTCTGAAAGTCTGCAGCTTGAAGGTTTATATTTAGGGGACTCACTGTATAGAGATGTATAAATATAAGCGTAAGTATAATGACTTATCAGAGGAAATGGATGCTGAGTAAAGTGTGCATACACTATAAAATACAATTCGAAGCATAAGTTTGATGTATTTATAACCGAGGCAGCCATGCTAAATGCTCATTACATGCTTACCTAACAATACTTTGTGGCCTTCTGAGAATTTGAGACCTCTTGGGATAATTAGCATGACCCTGTCTCTTTCAAAAGAAGCCTAGACTAATACTTCTCAGGACAGGCCTTTCAGCTAGAAGCAGTTAGGAACATTCATCATCTTTCTAGTCATTTCTTTTAAAAATAACTAATATGGATCAACATATGTAAAGGTAACTATTGTAGACTTGAGTTGTGAAGATTTGGGGATAAAAGAGCATCTTGGTTTCTGATCCTCTTTTTTTTTTTCCCTGGTATGTAATTTTATTTATTCTTGCGACAACACTAACTTCATTCTTCAGATTAAGCAGCAGAGGATAAGGGGATTTCCAATATATTTCTTTGTTAAGCCAGCTAACAAATGCCAAAGCTTGTTTGTATCTTTCTTTAAGATTTCATGTAAGCAATATCATAGGATATTTCTCTTTCATCTATTTGACTATGCATAGCATCTCTTCCTTGACTCTTCTCTGCAACCCCAGTCATTTAAGCCTGAAGAGGAGAAAGAAGGCAGCAGTGGCAGCAGGAAAAGAGGCTGTTATCCTCTGCCTTTCACAGAGTGGGAGCGTTTATACATTTCCTGGGGTCTTTACCCAGCACTAGCTGTCCTACTATAGGAACACAGAGGGTCCTTGAGAGCTCTGAGGATTGAAGGGCTGTGAGTGCAGTTCTCATGAGCTATGGATTTCACATCACAATGTAAGCCTGCAGCACATACACCGGTGTTGGACCTTAATTTGAAAAAATAGCACTGAAACATGTATAGTACCATATGTAGAATGGATGACAAATGTGGGTTTGATACATGAAGCAAGGCACCCAGGGCACTCTGGGACAGCCTGGAGGGATGAGGTGGGGAGGAGGTGGCGGGGTGATTCAGGATAGGGGGACACATACTTACCTATGGCTGATTCATGTTGATATATGGCAAAAACCATCACAATATTGTAATTATCCTCCAATTTAAATAAATAAATAATTTAAAAATAACAACTTAAAAAACATATCCATAAATCAACACATTGTCTGAATTGTTGATTTACAAAAACCCCTCTTCTGCCAATTACTTTTAAGAGGCATAGGCACTAAGGAGAAGCAAGTTTACCCCCGTAAAAATGACAACTCCTGAAAACAACACTGGCTTCTGCTTCACTGTGAATTCATCACAGTGACCTTGTTAATCCAAAGTGTCAGCAGTGTTGGGATCCACAAACTGTCAAAAAGGTGGCTTCATCAGAGCACTTCTGTTAGTTTTATTGACCACCCATTTCTGAATCAAGTTACGTAGTTGAAGTCAGGGCACCTGCTTTTGACCTCCTGTGTATGCAGCCAGGGTTTGTGACCCAGAGAGTGGGAAACCTTTTGAAATAATTGGAATAAAGATATTTTATGAGAAGTGGAGGAGAGGAGTAGTTTGGGTAATTCATATGCACTTGAAAACTGGTTTTGCACCTTGTATTATCACATCTTCATCACTAAAGATCTTAGACACCATTGAAGTTAATAGAATGGACTCAGAATCAAAAACCAAAACATCAGGGACTTCCCTGGTGGTCTGGTGGTTAAGACTCAGCATTACCAATGCAGGGACCATGGGTTCAGTCCCTGATTGGGAAACTAAGTTCCCATATGCTGTATGGCATGGCCTAAAAATAAATGAAAACAAAAGAACAACAAAATGTCATGAAAAAATATTAAAGGAGGCAGAAAATGCAGTAGATACTTGCATGCATGTGTGCTAAGTCAGTTCAGTCATGTCCACTCTGTGACCCTATGCTCCTCTGTCCATAGGATTCTCCAGACAAGAATACTGTAGTGGGTTGCCGTGCTCTCCTCTAGGGGATCTCCCCGACCCAAGGATCAGATCGAACCCAAGTCTCTTTTATCTCCTGCATTGGCAGGCTGGTTCTTTACCACTAGCACCACGTGGGAAGCCCAAGTAGATAATTAAATAAACATTAAAAACAATGAAAATCAAATGAACCGAAATGGTTCAAAAGATAGATGTCCTGTTGGTCTTCCCTTCCCCCTAGATCGCCTTTCCAGATTCTGACCTCCCCCCCCCCCCCCCCCCCCCCCGCTTTCTGCCGCCACCATAACTCTGCAATCAGATGGAGCTTGGCAAGCTGTGATGCAGAAGATCAGCTCAGTGGTAAAACAATCACTGCCCCAACACAGCCGCTGAATCCATCGGACACTACTTGAATTTAGTCAAGTCACTTCAGGCTCGATCTCCGTCTAGAAACTTGGTGTTTTGTATGCCTTCTTTTTTGCAGTGTTGGATTTTGCCCAACTTCATTTCATTTTTTTATATTACCTGAATGCTCATGATTTTTTCCTCCTTTAATTTCAAGGTCTAATTCATCCAGTGTAGGGCCCTCTTACCATCTCTAGTTTCCCATCTCATTTTTACTGACAACTCGCTTTATAGCATTCAGTTTTATATCTTCATTGAAACTAGGAAATGAATTTAATCTCACACTTTCCAAAAATCTACTGTGGTCACGGAGATCAGGGCCAAAATGGTTGGGGTTTTGTGTGCCTGAGAGTAGCCAGAATTATTCTTTGACCGCTAATGACTCCTGCAGATCAAGGAGCCTGTGTCCAGTCTTTGAATTTTCCCAGAAAAGTTCCCAGCCTGCCTGTCAGGGATAATCAGGGATGTCTCCTAATGCCTGTTACACAGTCTGTCCAGGGCACTTGAATTCCTGCAGCTGCTCCAGTGGCAGAGAGAAATCAGCAAAAAAAACCCCCACAAAACTGCCAAAGCACAGCAGCATGTGGATTGCAGCCTCTTAAAACCAGATCATTTTGTTGCTTTTTATTAGCTTGAATGGAGTTGTAGTTCTGTTGTGTCCTTTGTTCGAGAGATGGTTAAAGAACCACTGAATACCAGTGAGTCAAGCGTAGGTTTCAGAGAAAAGGACCTGGGAGATTGTCTGCTCTGACTCCTCATTTTAGAAATAGGCCATAAGAAGCCAAGGCAGTGAGTTAGGAGTAGAGCTGGAGCCAGAAATGCAGGTCAATCAGCTCTACTAAGTATGGGAACATTTATAAAATGAAAGGGGAACAAAAAGGAAAAGTAAAGAAAGAAATCATTTAAATAAAGTAGGAGTGTTATTTTGGTTAAACCATCAGCAGTGTTCTGTTAGAGATTGTAAAGAACTAGTGTTCATTTAAAAACCAATATGAGGTACATCCTTGTTGATCCAGTGGTTGAGATTCTGTGTTTCCACTCCAGGGAGCACGGGTTCCATCCCTGGTCATGGAACTAAGATCTTGCATGCCTTGTGACACAGGCAAAAAATAAATAAATTATGAAGAAAAAAAAGCCACTGTGACTAAAGAGGTGACACATGAGAGAGATCTTTGTGGTGATATCATAGTTCTGTGTTTTGGTTGTGGTGATATGTGACAAAATAGCACAGGACTATAGGCACACATTGTACTGATGTCTATTTACTAGTTTTTATATGGTATTATCGTTGGATAAGATGTAACCATTCCATTGGGTAAAGCTGAATGAAAGGTATACAGGACCTCTTCACTACTTTTGCAGCTTCCTGTGAATCTATAATTATTTCAAAATAAAAAACTAATCTTAAAGCAAATTCAAATTTTATTGTAGTTTAGTAAAGTTAGGCCTATGATCTGAAGGGGTGAGAAAATTAGTAACATACCTTTAAGTAATAACTCCATCATGAAAAAATATAGAGAGAAGTTTTCTTCTTGCCCTTATGACTCCAAAGAGTTGAGTAGACCTTACTGGAGCTAGAAATCTTGTTTGCTCCTTTTTACAGGCAACTAAAAAGATCCCCTGGAGAAGGGCATGGCGACCCACTTCAGTATTCTTGCCTGGAGAATCCCATGGACAGAGGAGCCTGGTGGGCTACAGTCCATAGAGCCGCACAGAGTCGGACACTACTGAAGCAACTTAGCACGCACACACAGAAAGCTTATATATTTATTTCACCAATCCGAATCAGTGTTTGTAAACTGAGTGGATGTACTGATGTTTTGATATCAGATGCAATTACATGTACTAAAATATCTTTTGAAATGAAATGCTTTTAGGATACTTTCATTAAAACTTTATTTTTAAATTTTAGTTATTGAATCAAAAACACTTCAAGGAAGCAAAGGAGAGCACAGCTTTAACAGTCCTGGAGTTTTTGTTGTAGAAAACACAACAGTGGAATTTCAGAAGGGCTCAGAGAGACAAACCTTTAAGATTCCAGGACCCCTGATGGCTGATTTCATCTTCAAGGTAGGACGAGTCTCTTCATAAAATGTCATGCATCAGGGGCCCAGCATATCTTGAATTTGAAAAAGAACATGTTTGTTTGGTTGGCAGTCAATGACTGTTATTATACAGGGCATGTGTCATTAATATTTTCACCTTGACAGTTCTTAAAAATCATTCAACTCTCTCAAGGTTCTGTTCCTCAGCCCCAATAGTTAAGAAACAAACTTCACTCTTATAGGGAAATGATTGTTTTGAATTTGTAGTCTCTGGTTGCTGTGTTCAGTTTTAAACCTCTCGATGGTGTTCAGTGAGAATGGTCCGCGGTTAAATGCTCCATGTCTTAAACCACAGCTTTTCTGTTGCTCTCCTTGCAAAGCAGAGCAGAGAAGACAGAGGCCCCCACGTTCCTTTCCTCTTTTCTCAGTAATGTCTCATCATGAGCACTTGTCTGGACACCTGTCAGGAGGTCCCCTCACAAGAACTCTTCTTTCCTGTGACCAGGGCTCTGTGTCCCCTCTCTTGGGTAAATCAGGGGCATCTTCTTTCACTCAGAAGACATGAAATGCAGTGGCCAATGTATTTCCAAGGCGACACAATCTAAAATTCTTCTGATACAACCGAAATTACCTAAGACATGCAGAAAAGGGTGTTTCAGTGGGTGGTTTTGTCCTATCTACCCCTTTTGGGAAACTCATTCAAAATGGAAAGGGAAGAAAGACAGGAGCTCCGGTTGCCAGGAATATATTTACCTGTGAGACGACCCAGTGCCTTCTAAAGAGCTGTTCCATGTTAACTTGTCAAAGTTTCATCAAAGCATTGGTTGTGCCAGCAGAGAAAGACATTTGGAGTTGGAGGAGAGTTGCAAACTGCTGTCCTCTTTGCAAAGTCAGCCTCCAGTGTGACCAGCCAAGTGTCAGCCTGGGTGGAGTTGTTGTTTTGAAACTTTGGGTTTTAAATTGTCAACCTTTAAAAAAATCAAGAGATTTTAACATTAAAATGTGTTCTTTTTTTTATCTGCTTCACTTTAAAAATGGGAAGGTTTGACCACCAGCTTGCATTCCACCATGGTGATAATTGGCTGCAGCTGTGGAACAGCTGCCTTCTCCACAGGGCACACCTCCTCACTTGCCATGGTCCACACCGGGCCCTTGTGTGATCCTGACATTGAAGGTATAGACATTTATAGACGTTTAAGTTGCCACTCCTGGACGTCACTTGTCATTCCTAGACATTGAAGTGACTTTTGTGTCAGACCCTTGAAGCATCAACCCAACGTTGTTCCTTGACAGCAGCCTTAGGAAGGTCTTCTGGGGAAGCCCTAATTGTCATCTCTCTTTCCTTCTATTCTCTCTCACCCATTGTTGTACATAAATTCTGGGCTTGGGTTGCTTCTTTTAAGGTTTTCCCATTTGATGCTAAAGTAGTAAAACCCACACACACAAACACAAACATACCATCTTAAAAAATTCTCTTTTCATTCCTACTCAGAAGATCTGTATTCCTCTCAAGTCAATTTAGAGACCTCTGACTGAGTACAAAACATTAATACAGTGATGGGATGAGAAATATAGCCACAAAGGTTAAAATTTTACGGTACTGGTTGGTGAAGGTATTAACATGGGAAATGTGTTGTTTATTGGCCTCATGCATAAACACACATACACACATAAACTATTTACTTTGAATGTGTCTGTATACACACACATGTACATATATGAATATGTGTATGTGTGTGTGTGTATACATTTTTTTAAGATTTGAGAGGATATATTCCAAACTGAAAACACTGAGAAAATAGTGGCTATTTTAGAGGGTATCAGTGCTTTGGGGGAGTGATCTTAGTTTTACTTATAATATTCTAAAATTTAATTCTTAGAAATACAGTCATATATTATATGTGTAGTTAAAATTGGGCTTCCCCTGGTCGCCTCAGTGGTTAAAAAAAAAAAAAAAATCCACCTGCCAATTCAGGAGACATGGGTTTGATCCCTGGGTTGGGAAGATCCCCTGGAGAAGGAAATGGCAACCCTTTCCAGTATTCTTGCCGGGGAAATCCCATGGACAGAGGGGCCTGGAGGGCATGGGATCACAAAAAAGTCAAACACAACTTGGCAACTGAAAATCAACACTCAAAAACTACTTTACACCTTTATGTCCAAATTATATATTCACCTCTTAATAGAATGCATTTTAGCAGAATGTTGCCACTGTATGAGTTTGTACTCAGTCTTCTATTTTCCTGTCTCTTGAGTTCTAGTTTTCTCAGATTTAATAAACAATTCTGGGTTTTAACTTCAATTTCTGGAAAGCTTTTGATCTCTCTTGACTAGAAAGGTTTTTTTTTTAAAAATGTATTATTTATCAAAGAGGGTGTTACACACAACGGACTCATGCATAAATAAAGCCTCACTTTCATGCCCAAACCATTTTCTTTCATGAATGTATGTACTTGGTGGGAGAGAATTTGGCAAATCAGAGATGCTGTGATGAAGCAAGAATAATTCTGATGGTTGTCCCTGACTTACAAGCTTGTCCAAATTCTGTGGGTTTCTAGGAAATATCCTTTTCCATGGGTTACTGTTTTTTTGGTCAGAGCACTATAGTACTACCCTGCCTGTGTTGTTACTGAGATTGGGAGTTCTGCTTCCATTCATCTCTCCTTGGCCTATGAGGCAGTCAAGTGATGGCTCTCCTTCGAGTGGGAGTTAAGAATGTGTGTGAGGTCCCTGTTGATGGTCAACCTTGTATTTCACTGTATCTCTTTCCATTCCAATCAACTAAGAACAGCTGATCTTTAAAAACAAAAAATAGGAAGAGTTGGCTTCAACCTGAGAGAGAATGTGAAGACCAGCTCCACCCCACAGTTCAGTTCAGATCAGTTGCTCAGTCGCGTCTAAATCTTTGTGACCCATGGACTGCAGCATGCCAGGCTTCCCTGTCCATTACCAACTCCCAGAGTCTGCTCAAACTCATGTCCATCAAGTGGATGATGCCATCCAACCACCTCAGATTCTTTTGTCCCCTTTTCCTCCTGCCTTCAATCTTTCCCATCATCAGGGTCTTTTCCAATGAGTTGGTTCTTTGCATCAGTGGCCAAAGTATTGGAGTTTCAGCTTCAGCATGAGTCCTTCCAGTGAATATTCAGGACTGATTTCCTTTAGGATCGACTGGTTTAGATCTTGCTGTCCAAGGGGCTCTCAAGAGTCTTCTCCAACACCACAGTTCAAAAGCATCAATTCTTCGGCACTCAGCTTTCTTCATGGTCCAACTCTCACATCCATGCATGCCTAATTGATAAATCATGGATTGATGGGCCTTTCTCGGCAAAGTAATGTCTCTGCTTTTTATATGCTGTCTAGGTTGGTCATAGCTTTTCTTCCAAGGAGCAAGCGTCTTTTAATTTCATGCCTGCAGTTACCATCTGCAGTGATTTTGGAACCCAAGAAAATAAAGTCTGTCACTGTTTCCACTGTTTCTCCATCTATTTGCCATGAAGTGAAGAGACTGGATGCCATGATCTTAGTTTTTTGAACGTTGAGTTTTAAGCCAACTTTTTCACTCTCCTCTTTCACTTTCATCAAGAGGCTCTTCATTTCCTCTTCACTTTCAGCCATAAGGGTGATGTCATCTGCATATCTGAGGTTATTGATATTTCTCCCAGAAATCTTGATTCCAGCTTGTGCTTCATCCAGCCCAGCATTTCACATGATGTACTCTGCATGTAAGTTGAATAAACAGGGTGACAGTATACAGCCTTGATGTATTCCTTTCCAAATTTGGAACCAATCTGTTGTTCCATGTCCTGTTCTAACTGTTTCTTCTTGACCTGCATGCAGATTTCTCAGTAGGCAGGTAAGGTGGTCTGGTGTTCCCATCTCTTTAAGAATTTTCCAGTTCGTTGTGATCCACATGGTCAAAGGCTTTGGTGTAGTCAATAAAGCAGATGTTTTCTGGAACTCTGTTGCTTTTTTTCTATGATCCAGTGGATGTTGGCAATTTGATCTCTGATTCCTCTGCCTTTTCTAATCCAGCTTGAACATCTGGAAGTTCTTGGTTCATGTACTGTTGAAGCCTGGCTTGGAGAATTTTGAGCATTACTTTGCTAGCATGTGAGATGAGTGCAGTTGTGTGGTAGTTTGAACATTCTTTGGCATTGCCTTTCTTTGGGATTGGAATGAAAACTGAGCTTTTCCAGTCCTGTGGCCACTGCTGAGTTTTCCAAATTTGCTGGCATATTGAGTGCAGCACTTTCACTGCATCATCTTTTTGGATTTGAAAGAACTCAGCTAGAATTCCATCACCTTCATCAGCTCTACCCCACAGAGTGCTGTTAATAATTTTGCTCAGTCCTGGGTGCACTGAAATACAAAGGCACCTTTGCCTACAGTTCCTAGATTAGACCTCATTTCATGGACGTCTCCGCTGTCTCCAGGAGATAGTGAAGGACAAAGAAGCCTGTTGCGCTGCTTCCATGGGGTTGCAAAGTTTTGGACACACCCTAGCAACTGAACAACAGTAATAGCAACATGGACGTTTAATAAATGGAAGGTTGAAAACAACTATATTCTGACGTGATGAGTAAAATATGAAGGCATCCATGGGATGCTAGATTCTTTTGTGGCTATTGTGCCGATTCTGAAATCTGGCAACTCACTGCACCCATGAGATGGAATTTCTCTTTTTCTACTTTTTCAGAAGCTGTATTTTCATGTTTGGACCTTTTTTGAAAAAAGTGCACTTGTTCTTCTTCCCAGCGGATTTCTCACTAAGCATCCTTCTTTTCCTGAATGGTCTATTTCTAGCGGATGACTCTTGTCACTCTGTTACTGAGTCACAGTATTTTGCATGTGAGCCCCTGAGATATTCTCATTTTGCTTCTGCAATATGTGTATGTGGCCACCATGTAGCAGTAGAGTCTCGAACCTGTAGTTGACGCCTGTGCTTTGTTGGTTGGACCCTGAGGCGCTATCCTTTCGGTAAGAGTTTACTGAGTATCTCAGTAGACGTTTGTGAATATCTGC